ATATATTATATTCATAATAATTGTTTATAATTTTCCAGTGTGTTAACTGCATTATCGCACGAATACAATTTCATTTTGCTTTAGAAATTAATGAATTGAAAAATTATATCAAAATTTGTAACGACACATTTGTAGGGAAAACTAATACCTTACAAGGGAATGTACTACACTATGAAATACAGTCAATTAGGTATAAAAATGGATAAGTACCATTGACTGTTGAAGTAAACATCTAAATATTGTTACCAATTACACAATTTTTTTTTGTTTTGTAATCCACAATCACAATGTCGCCAAAAACAAAGAATACAACTGATCAGGCTGAGAAAACCTACAGTTATAATTCATAAAAACGTTTAATATACATATACATGAAACGACACCAAATAATAACCAATATTAGTTGGGGTTATTGGTTTCCTGCYATTTTACTATTTACTGTTATCTATTGATACAGATTTTAGTTAAAAATAAATAAATTTAAATCCATAATCATTATAGAGTATAATGGTACCAATTTTCTATAAATATTATTAATATTATTATTTTATATTTAAAATGTTTAACCATGTGTTTATGTCATAATTTGTATAAAAAATTCTCTATATTAATAAAATAATAGTATACATTATAATTAATATCCAAAACACTTATAACTACTATTTAAATTGTAATAAATTAGTTGACATTAAACTTTCATTTTCAACTTTCTAATTTATGAAAAATAAAACTGTTGACTTAACTATAAGGAATTATACAATTACACTTTCTCCGTATCATTTATTCCCAACTTCAAATATTATACATAGGTGGAGCCTCAATCACTGGATGTCGGTTCACAGAAATACACCACATTTACCCTMTCCATTCATTTTTTGACTTTCTGTCATGCTATGCAGCCTTATTMCGCCTGAGAATCATATTCACTGTCCTGTCAGACATCAGCCAACTCTTCAATCCGTTATCTTTTCGACGTATCATCTTGGAGGGAGTTCTTCCTCTAGGCCCAGAATGATATTCAAAACATCCTGGATTCCAAGTTGCCATCTCACGCCTACCATCCACCCAGTATGGAAAATTTTGCAAGACATGTTCCACTTTGCCTTCCGGCTCCACACAGTGATGTATCTTTTATTACCTAAAATGTTTGTAACGGTATTAAAAACACTTTTAGATCCATAGATAATCGTACATTTTCTAATAAATATAATAATTTAAACCATTAGTAATAAACAAAGTATTCATTGATATCTAACTATTTTAACACTTTGAATGAATTGTATTAAGTACTTTTTAATAAGAGTTTGCATTTCTTTCTGATCTCCTAAAAAACWAAGAGACAGTCATGTATTCATATGAAATATATTTAATGAAAATTAAATTAAATTAACCTTAATTACCGGTGTAAATATTTTGTTGAGTATTCTTCTTCTTCAGATTACCTTCGGGTGACTTATACCCAATTTTATGAAAAATGTGTTCATTTAATGTACAGGCCACTGAATAAAAAAAAAAGATTAATGAACCATTAGGTAACTATTGATTCATTAAATATTAGTTGCTATTTTAACAATGCAATCTGACATTATTACACATCAGGTGTTGATGTTTTTTAATTATCCATACATCTTAATATGTGTAATATAAAATTAATGCACCAGTTTTAAAAATTATATTTTTATTATCTATCTAAATTTAATAGAATTATAATTGCAATGGAAAAAAATATCTTCCAATCTATCTGAATCTTCAAGATTAATTTTAAAAATGACTAATTGCTTTTAGAAGCTATTTCCGTCTTATTAAGAATATACCAGTTGCATTGTTTAAGAGGATATTATAAAGCATATTTTGTTTTCATTTACTGACACATAATATACTATTAAATTTAGATAGATAATAAAAATATAAAGAATATACCAGTTGCATTGTTTAAGAGGATATTATAAAGCATATTTTGTTTTCATTTACTGACACATAATATACTATTCAGCAGTCCAACTTAGCTTAAATACTAGAGTAAATTAACCTATTTAAAAAACTAAAATGTAAGGATGGTATTTTTTAACGATATAATATATTTTAATTTTTAATGAATTATGAGAAATTTTAAACACAAGTATCAACATAATATATACATTTAAAACAAATAATATGCACTTAAATATGTTCAAAAAAAAGTTAAGATATAAAATATGGCATCTAAATTGTAATAACCATGCAAAAAAAAAAAAAAAAAATAAAGAAATTTAATTTAAATTTATTTACTTACAAAAACTTGAAACCTAACCACTGAAGTTTACTTCCTACACATGTTAACATTGCAGAGTTACTGGACAGATAGTAAATTACCTAACACATAATAATTTATAAAAATTATATACCATAAGTAGACATTAGGAAAGTAATAAATATCAAAACTGTCCACATTTATACTAATACAATATGATCTTAATTTTTCCAATATACTCAAATATGTATTTATATGCAATGATAAAAAAATATGCAAAATACAATTTTAAATATTAAACCTTCTTTTGTTATAAGCCTTATTTACACTCTTTAGTCTTACTGGTCTTTCCAGACAAGCATGATGAAAAAGACTTAACCTCCTCAATCCTGCTAATTAACAGCTTAAAAAATCAAAATATTTTTTCAATCAATTCACACTAACATAAAAGCTATCTTAGCTAGCCAATAAAATTAGATCTGCTGAACATAGAATTTAATATGTAATACGTTAATAAGAAAGAAAAACATGTATAATGTTCTCATAATTATAATATTATTATTTAAAAACAAACCTAGTATAATTATATTATTCATAATAATTACTTATTTATTTTCTTAGGCGTATATTAATTAATGTCTAAAACACCATGCAAACATTTCAGCAWATTTTACTTCCTTTTAGTTTGGTGGGCTGTATAGACTAGTACACAGCTGAATCATCTTCTTTTGCAGCAATGTCATAGTCAAAAACCTGCAAAAACCAAACGGAAACCTATAAATATAATTTACTATATTTGTAGCTTATTAATATATTACTGAATTTTTGAATATTACTAYACTGATTAGCTGCTTCATTTAATCCTTTTTTAAACTTTAGATTCATACACTGAAAGGAACACAACTTCAAGTTTTTTTTTCTATATTTATAAAAAAAAACACATGTTGAAATTATTAATTTTATTTTGAATAATTAAAAATAAATTTACCTTTTTCATTTTTCATTTTTATAAAAAGGATATAAAATCAAATATCAATGAATCGGTATTCAACTGTTGCTTGGATGTCAGGTAAGAATTTTTTTCATTTTCAACATGTACAGCATTATGTTATATAAAACAGAATAAATCTGGTTACTTATTGAAAATGACTACACCATTCAATTGATTTTCGGTTTTCTTAATTTTCAACACCCACACTCACAAACTGGATATTATCAAACTTAACTATCTGTAAAAATAAAAAATAAAATTATTGGGCTGCCTTAATATTAGCACCTATATGATATTTAATATTTTTTTTTACCTAGGTCTAAGCAATTAAAATGATAATAGTCAATGTTCCATGTCACTTTCACACATCCATACAAGGGTAAACCTTTCGAATATYGGTCAAAAACCAATCAATAAAAATAAATATTTAAGAAGATAATAGGATATCTAGAATAACCGAAAATTGTTACTAGGGCGAAAAGGCATATTTTCCCATATCACACAATTAAAATTTGCTAGCTTTACACAATAGTAATATACAAACCTAAACATTTTATTTATGATGTTCGATTTATGTAGATATATGTGATTTCCTGTGCTTAAGACGATAGAAGTATCAGAATATCAATATTATAACATTTAGTTTTATTTTAATATTAAAAATACCTACTTGAAGAGAAATTTTTGTTACATTCATAGATGTTACATAGGTGTGGAGCATCAATTTATTTTGATACATATTTTTAATATTTCAAAACAACTTATCATTTTAGAAAAGTTTAGTTTTCAGTACATACAAACACACCACATATTATATTATACAACAAAAATTAATAAATAAGAAAATATTAGGTAAATTATTGTGTGAAGCGAGTAACATAATATACACTTACGAAAGGCAATTGCCGCGAGCATAGCCGTCACACGTATTTTTTCAATTTTTCATATTGTTATAACTCATTAAATAACGGGACTTGAAACAATAAATCAGTACCATAATGCTCATTGTTAATAATTCTTTCATATTAAAAATATCTACTCACCTTTTTATTGTTCAATTTGTACAATGTACATCATTAAACGCGGATATAATTATACAATCACATATTCACATTCAATGCTATAGACCAGGGATGGCCAACCCAAATGATCTTGCGGGYCACTTTGTAAGTACATAACAATCCTGCGGGCCACATATAGTGAGATATTTGTTTCTCAACTCGTTCACTAAGCTTTTTTTTTATTTTAAAAATACAATTTGCTATAAGCTAGTGTCTACTCGTATATATTTTTAWCAGATTAGATTAGAATTATTAGTGTTTATATAATTTTATTTTGTAAATACATATTTGTTAAATGTCGCGGGCCGCGGGTTGGCCATCCCTGATATATACCAAGGTGTATTTATGATAAATACACCTTGCTAGCAGCTGCAGCAAGCTATAGACATTCGTGTTCGTAACATCGATATAAAGAATAAATAAAATTCTTATAATTTCTTATAATTCTTTATATCAATGGTTCGTAATAAGCAACTGATAACAAAACATTCGGAATAAGACCGTGTTCGGAATAATCACTTCTCGTGGTTAACAGTGCTATAACCGTTTCGCAGCGTTACGGATACCRTCCGCTACCGACCCGACGTCGTATCGCTCATAGATAATAATCTATGGTATCGCTTGGCTAGGAGCTGCAATGCTGATATCACCATGTATCACGGACATCTACCGCGGTTCTTCCACGACGACGATAACGCGGCATTCTGATAACGGAAACGTCGAGTCGCCGCTCACACACGAAAGCACGGTCAATAGTGAATAGATCGATTAGTCTCAGCGGTGCAGGCAGTGGTGAGTAGGAAGGAAACGAACGGAAACGCTGCTGTCCGTCTTAATTTGACGCTCCCAACGTCACGTTTCCATTCCCACGGTTGTCTGAACGCCGTAACACCATCACGTCCAGTGAAACAACAACGTTTCCGGTTCACCAGTAGGGGCGCTACCCTAAGTGCGACCTACCCTCGAACGTTTTCCGTGCCGCCCGCCCCGTAAACACCGAACTCCCCGTCGACAAGTATCCAGCAACAGTCGTCGCCATGATCGGTGGTCTGTTCATGTACAACCACAAGGGTGAGGTGCTGATATCGCGAGTGTACCGCGACGACATCGGCCGCAACGCCGTGGACGCATTCCGCGTGAACGTCATACACGCACGCCAGCAAGTCCGATCGCCGGTCACCAACATTGCGCGCACGTCGTTCTTCCACATCCGCCGGGCCAACATCTGGCTGGCCGCCGTCACCAAACAGAATGTCAATGGTGCCATGGTGTTCGAGTTCCTCATACGGTTCACGCAAGTCATGCAGTCGTACTTCGGTAAGATCAACGAGGAGAACATCAAGAACAACTTTGTGCTCATCTACGAGCTTCTTGACGAGATACTCGACTTTGGTTACCCGCAGAACTGCGACACTGGCGTGCTCAAGACGTTCATCACTCAGACGGGCGTCAAGTCGCAGAGCAAGGAAGAGCAGATGCAGATAACGTCCCAGGTCACTGGCCAGATCGGATGGCGACGCGAGGGCATAAAGTACCGTCGTAACGAACTGTTCCTTGACGTACTCGAGTATGTCAACCTGCTCATGTCGCCCCAAGGACAGGTATTGTCCGCGCATGTGGCCGGTCGCATACTCATGAAGTCCTACCTGAGCGGCATGCCCGAATGCAAGTTTGGTATCAATGATAAGATTGTAATGGAGTCCAAAGGCACCAAGATCCTTGATGACACGGGCTCTAGGACGGCCTCTGGTAAGCCAGTTGTTGTCATTGATGACTGTCAATTTCATCAATGTGTAAAACTTTCAAAATTTGAAACCGAGCATTCCATAAGTTTCATCCCGCCTGACGGTGAATTTGAGTTGATGCGTTACCGTACTACAAAAGATATATCATTGCCGTTCAGGGTTATACCGTTRGTGAGAGAAGTGGGACGTACTCGTATGGAAGTGAAAGCAGTATTAAAATCTAATTTCAAACCCTCCTTGTTAGGTCAGAAAATAGAAGTCAAAATTCCCACACCATTGAATACTGCTGGAGTTCAATTGTTATGTCTAAAAGGCAAAGCCAAGTACAAGGCTTCAGATAACGCAATTGTGTGGAAAATTAAGAGGATGGCAGGCATGAAAGAAACACAGCTCTCAGCTGAAATTGATCTTTTAGAGACTGACACTAAGAAAAAATGGACAAGACCACCAATTTCTATGAATTTTGAGGTACCATTTGCTCCTTCTGGATTCAAAGTCAGATATTTAAAAGTTTTTGAGCCCAAGTTGAATTATTCTGATCATGATGTTGTCAAATGGGTTCGTTATATTGGGCGAAGTGGATTGTATGAAACTAGGTGTTAATCAGACAAAACTATTATATTTGTTTTAATCGTTTCTCAATATTCTGGTCCAAAATTATCTACATACTGATTATCTATGTCAAATGTAATATTGTTTCATATTATTGTGATTTTAATTTATAATCCATCAGTATGTGTGGTATGATTAAATATATTTATTGTTATTTAGGCTAGTCGTTTTATGTTCATTTTATATACATAATAAATAATATTTCCATTTTAATCAGCGGGGGCTCGTCTAAATGTGCACTACTTACCCAAACTCAAGAAAAATTGAAAACATAAMTSATTATAATATAACTAAGTACCTACCTGAAGTGTTATTAAGATTATTTTTCAAAATATAAWAATATAAATTCAGAATATTAAGAAAACAATATAATTTTTGGATTGGGTTTTTTTCGAAAGCCAAACAGTCTGGCAGTTGTCCGTGACTGAACAGTATCGATGTGTATTATAGTGATACAGTAGTGCACACAATCGCTGTGCACATAACCAAATAACTTGTTTCAGTAAATTATTTTTKATGTCGGCATTGAGAATATAATATATTTTTACTCTCATTTGTTTATTATATTCCGATTATCAGCTGATAATGTTACTTGATCATTATCAGAAATTCAAAACAACAATCGCGTTAAACAAATTAAAAGATACCTAATTGGTAAATAACTAAAATTTGTAAACAATTATTTACTACGATTTTTAATATAATATAATATGTCTATGTATATATAAAATTAGTTAAATTTATTTTGGTTGTGCACTATTTCATTAAAAACCCACGAGCCGCCACTGATTTTAATATAATTAAATTTATGAAAATATTGGCCAATATAAATTTTAATATTTCTATTATACCTACATAGTTAATTTATTATTTTATATATATATATTTTTTTTTACCTGATTTGATCTGCGTATTATTTTTCTAGGTATTTCTAAATTTAAACATATATTACCTTAGATAAATAATGATGGAATGTGTAAGTTCATTACTATAATGTAATAATAATGATTCTATTTAGTGCTTTATCATAATATTATATTAAACTATAACAGAAACATTGTGTTATTATTTATATACTTATTCAACTACTATTGTTAAACAGTTAATGTGTTAAAGAAGTTTAATTTGTTTGTATTACTGTTGTCAAAAAGTTACAAAACAATTTAAGTAAACAGGAAACATTATTTTGTTGTCCCTTCGCAATATTAAATGTAATTAGTTCCATACAAAATGAAATAAATTGGTTTAATAGGACTATAGTATTGCTTATATTATATTCATATTATATTATAGTGTATGAAATATGAAATTTAAACTTTATAGAATTGAATTAATTTTTTATGTACCCAGATGAAGATAGTCATTTTATAAATATACTGATTAATCATAATAACTATTTACCATATTATATGTAACATATTAATTTTTATAAATTGATTTCATTAAATATGGAAAATATGACTTTCAAAAATTACATTTGAGTATTTTATAAATAAAAATTATGAATTTAGTTTGTCAATTAAATTTGATAATATCAGAAAATGTCTTATTGTACAGTCAAACTTTGCAGGTAAACAATTCATCATTTTTATATTTAATAATATTTTAATATATTAAAAAAAYCCAACCTTTTTTTCATTGTAGGAGAAGACGAAGAAAACGAAATCGAACATACGTTTCAGTAATATAATGTTGATAGTGTTATTGTTGTCAAAAAATAACTAATTACAAAAAATTKTCTAAATTTAAATGAATAAATCAAATTTTTTAATTTTATTTAAAAAAAATATTTAGTTGCATATTTTTGCGCATATTTCGGTTATTTTAAGTGCATATGTGCATGCATATTTCCTACAATTTGTGTGCAATAAGTCCCGGTAATATATTTATACCTTCCGATTTTAATATCTTTTATTGTTTTTATGATTAGATTAAAAATTTCAATATTGTCATGTCTTTCTTATAATAGGGAAAAAATTATATGGGGTCATACTCTCATACTTGAGAGAAAACATTTTAGAAATTTCTCTCATATAATAATTACAAAATGTGATATATCTTTGGAAATTGAATTTAAAATGTTTTTACTGAAATATATATATTATATTATTTTTCTTTTATTGATTCTAATCCTGACAATTATGGCCATTAGCTAAATATATTTTTATGTCAGTTAGTATAATAAATATACAAAAACTTACTAAAGGTTTACTAAATGTCTATTGTCTGCAACTATTTGTTTTACTATTTCGTATAAAAACAACAAAACATACATACATTATACATATTYAGAAAATGTAGATGATATTAGTTTATACTAAAATTTTGTAAAAATTTTTAAATTATTTATTTGCCTATTTATTTTCATAGTTGATATTATATTCCAATAAATTACAAAATAACTATTTAACTATTGATATTACAAAACTCATTTTAAAATAACCGCTTTAATATGTCATTAAAACTTGAGAAAATTGTCATATRCAACTCAAAAAACATATCAGTTAAATAATTACTCGTATTTATGGTGAAAACTAACTGACGCTAAAATACGTACCTGTTGTACTTACGACAGAATATTCTAAAATATTATACTAAGATACATAAATACAATCCATGAGTTTTAATACCGTTTGATGAGCCAATATGTCAGGCTAATTATGTGAAAAAAATAATATGAAACGTAAATATGAGTGGCCATTTTCCTTATGGATTCACTTGAATAACAAATTGTTTCAACCATTTTTTAATCAATATAAACGAGGTTTATAAAAATACAAATTAATCATTATTAGACATTATATACGCAAATATTAACAAAAAATCTAAAATACTTCAACATTTCATAAAATAACTATATGAAATATTATTTCTGGTTAATATAATTTAAATAATAGTGTTAAGGATCAAAAAAAATTTTCTAATTACACAAATACCTTGACTATTAATATCAACATGGACTTTCAAAATTCATTCAATTACCTACTTTTCAGAAGCACATGAGTTAAAACGTAATCTAAGTTAAAACAATTGCCTATATAAAACTCCTTTATTTTATTGATGGTCTCCACTTGTCCCCAACATAATAATAATATCATTCTTCCAGCAAACCAGGATTGGACAAGCTAATTTAGTCAGAATACTCAACCTCAGGCCC